CTTTATAATTAAACCCAAGATTTAGAGTGAAACAAAAAAACATAGCTTTAAAATTAGATCCAAATTTTGACGTAAAAGTTAACAGACCTTAGCTCTTGCCTTAACAATTAACCAACATGAACAAAAACCAAATCTTGAGAAATTCAAGCCAAGTTTCAAAGTAAAAACTAACAATTACCCTATAAGCATAGACGATAGCTTAAAATGAAACCCAAATTCTAACAAAGATTGGAGCTACAAAAGATCAGTGCCTTAACGATTCGACCTAGCCTACAATATTGAAGTAAAAACAAACAAATACGCTTTTACATGTTGGCAACTTAAAATGAAACCAATATTTTGAAGTAACAAAGAGATGATTTTTTGAGGAAAATGTGAAGCAGACCAACAGAGACCATAAAAAGGAATTTCAATAAACTTAAGGTTCGACCTTGATACATATACAAAATCAAGACACAAACCAACATCAAACTTCAGCAAAGACCAGATCTTTTGCAGAATATGATTCAACAACAGGAACAAACAACCGAGCTTTATAATTAAACCCAAGATTTAGAGTGAAACAAAAAAAAACATGGCTTTAAAATTAGACCCAAATTTTGATGTAAAAGTTAACAGACCTTAGCTCTTACCTTAACAATTAACCAACATGAACAAAAACAAAATCTTGAGAAATTCAAGCCAAGTTTCAAAGTACAAACCATAGTCACATAAATCGCGGTACGCTTCGGTACGGGTACGCGGTACGGGTACGAAATTCGCTAGATGTAACGAATTCGGTACGAAGGGGGGTAGGTTCATTTCGGTACGAAGTGGTACGAAGCGGTACGGTGTACCATGTATTCGGTTCGATGTACCAATAGTCAAAACATAAGTAAACAAAAATAGATAAGATGAAAAATTGAGAAAAAGCCATTGAAAAAATGATAAATATAATTTTTTGAATTATTTGTAATTTAATTCAATTTTATAATTTTTGCCAAAAGCCATTGAAAAAAGAGAGAAAAAATTATATTTATATATATATATATACATATACATATATATATATATATATATACACACACACACACACATATATATATATGGAGAATGGAGACTGAGAGACTTGAGAGATGAGACATATATATATACGGAGTAATATAATTATATATATTTGGAGAATGGAGACTGCCTAGAAAAAACGAAACATTAAGTCACAGAACAGACCATCGAGAGACGCACGGAGAATAGGAACGACTCGCACGAAACTTGGGGAGTGCAATCGCGAATCGACGCAGATTGGAAGAGGGAAGGTCGCGGAAGAGAAGAACTTGCGATTTGGATCGCTGGACCGTCGGTGATTGGTACTCCACATTCTCCGACTTGGTGCGACGTTCGGGGGCATCTGGATCACCGGCGAATTGCGAATTGGAACACCGTACCAACCCGAATTGGATCGCCGTACCACTGGCGATTGGATCGCTGGCGACTTGCGATCCGGTACGATTCGTACCAGTTCGGAATTCGCGGCTAGGTGAACGAATTCTGTGACTATGGTACAAACTAACAATTACCGTATAAGCATAGACGATAGCTTTAAAATGAAACCCAAATTCTAACAAAGATTGGAGTTTCAAAAGATCAGTGCCTTAACGATTCGACCTAGCCTGCAATTTTGAAGTAAAAACAAACAAATACGCTTTTAGATGTTGGGAACTTAAAGATAAAACAACATGAGATAGAAGAGCTTTAAAATGAAACCAATATTTTGAAGTAACAAAGAGATGATTTTTTGAGGAAAATGTGAAGCAGACCAACAGAGACCATAAAAAGGAATTTCAATAAACTTAAGGTTCGACCTTGATACATATACAAAATCAAGACACAAACCAACATCAAACTTCAGCAAAGACCAGATCTTTTGCAGAATATGATTCAACAACAGGAACAAACAACCGAGCTTTATAATTAA